ATTAGTATATATATATATATATATATATATATATATAAGGGTGCACAAAGTGCACTAAAGTCACCACATTTTATGGAACCCTTATTTTAGTTTATCTGAGAGTAGACTATACGTTCACAAGAGGAACACTACAGCAAGTAATACAGGAAAAATTTGGAACAGATATTTGGGCGACTGTTTCTTATACTAAGAAAGAAGTTAGGAAGATTTCTAAGTAACTCCAAATACAGTCTTCATGAAAGTTTAAAATTTAGAATAAAATATGGCGAAACATTTATTGTATTTTTAGACATCTTAGTTATCAACAACAATGGAAATATAGAAACTGATGTGTATTAATGACGACCGATAGCACACTGTATTTTTAGATTCCCAGTCCTGCCAACTTAAACATATGCACAAATACATATCTTACAGCTCAGCTTGAAGAATCTGCGTAGTATTTTCAGGTTAAATTGATTTACTCAAAGAATATTTGGTAGACCCGCTTTATGCTTGATAAAGAGGATTGGCAGAACATATTATAGAGTAATTCTGAACTTAGCGAAAAATAACGAAGTTTGAGCAAGGAAATAAATAAACTGGACTAGATACCTAACACCAGCCCTGTAAGCAGAATGTTTGAAAAGAGGGTTCTACTTTGTGAGATCAAAAGCTAACATATTGTTACGCCTCCGGTCGTTAGTTAATTTTCCGTAAAAATTATTTCCGAAGAAACTTTACCGATACAAGTCCTTTCTTAAATAAAAATGGTTTATTCTTTCTGAATACAAATTTACGATACACTTAATTTCAACAGTCGCGCTATAACAAACGCTATAATTCACAACGAACGTCTCACGTACTCAACAATATTCTGTCCGCATACATTCAATTACTCATTACCTTACGTTGCTTCTTGGCCGGTCTTATATATACAAGACTACCCCAATCTAGTAGTCTCCCGACATTTCATGAAGGATCGAGAAGGAAGTGGCGTGATACGAGCGTCACGTGACCTGCGTTGTCGCAACAATATATTGTGCGAAGCACAATCAGCATGCAAAGCATGCTAATGCTATGAGGGTCTGGGACATGTGACTATTTCAAGCCAAAAAATGGTAATGCTTCATCAGAAATATGTATATTATGTAGAAAACATCAAATACCATAAGCAGTTGTGCTATAACTTTATCAACATTTTTTACATCACAAAATTAGGGGGTTTAGTCGAACGCCTGAACCCCCTCTAACTTCCCCTGCATACGCGTGAACATCCAATGAAAATACTCTTTATTAATTCAAATACAAAGAACTGCATGTGTTCTTGCTTTTAAACTCTGGATAGTCAGCTTACAGTATTCGAGAATTTATTAGACTAGCTTTCTTTCCTCGAAATGTATTCCAGCTAAACATTTCACTCTAGATCTTAGCCATAAATGTTTGAATCTAACTTATATTATTTCACTGGAGCCGTCGGATTAACCAAGGACAACTAGGATTATCCATATGACTTGTCATTCACATGTAGACACAGGGGAGGCCGTAATCTCAAAACACCACATGACCTAGCTACCATTGAAGGGCGCTGCTATTTACATTCTTGCACAAGGTGCAACATTACAGAACATTTGTAACCTCAATAGAATGGCAAGGTAATAAAAGTATCTAAAATCAAATCGACTGAACGACTTCTTGATAGCCAGCTTCTCATTTGTCCTTATACATCTTGTTCATCGACAGTTCCATCACATTCTTGGTCTTGTTGCTTGTAAATATTTCAAGAATTACCAACAGTAGGTTTCAAATAAACGACGCGTGATAAATTCCACGTAATTCTGTCTGCATCGAGAACATATGCGAGGCACATTCGAAAGTTCAACGTAAACATTCAGCTTTGGTACGTGCTGTTCCTAATGTCAGCTTCTGGTGTTGCATCAACATTGGCTCAATATACTCTGCAACTAGAAGGAGAGTTGAGATTGAAAAATGCAATATGGGAGCTTCTTTTAGGGACATGACACTTGTAACTGGTGGATTACAGTTTACTCTAAATGTGGATGCTAAACTTTTATCTTATTGTATTTATCTTTCAACGTTATGGGAATTCCAGTTCTTGTGAAACCTTTATTCTTTTGCCTATTGTCCATTTTGGAAATGCCAACAAAACGTTCCAGATTTACAGTTAGCGTTGAGCCAACAGCGACTTCATGGTATTTCCAATGCTGATTAATATCGTCGAATTTTGGAATACCCCCATATCAATAAACAACATAGAAGAGCTTTAAAATATTGTTACGTCTCTGGTCGTTTGTTAATTTCCGGTATAAATTCTTCCCGAGGAACTTCGGCGATACAAGTCCTTTCTTTAAATAAAACTAGTTTATTCTTTCTCAATACAACTTTATAATACACAGAATTTCCACAGTCAATACGTTTGCAATCTCGATAACAAAACACACACTTTATATTACCGTCACTACCGCTCACTTGACTCAATTATCTGTCTCTATCACTGTCTATCTGTAATTCTCTCCCCCTATGCAATTATTTGCCGGGCTTATATACTAAAATAGAGGGCGTCTGGCAAAAACTAGTTGCCAGGAGAAGTCAAGATCCTTCGAGAATCTTATGACGTGTTACCAGCGTCACGTGACTTCCGCTGTCGTAACAATATTAATTCTGTATTTATCTTGAAAATGTACTCAATACTGATTTTAAAATTATATCCACTATAATTTGTGATTTCGAGATTATTTTTTCTCAACAAATAACTGTCTTTACTAATTAACTAACATAAACTGCAGTTTGGGTACACCGTAACTCACCTTACGAGTGAACTAATCGTTGAATTATTTTCACCAAATAATTTAAAGTAACCCGCCAACAAAAGAACTACGCTACAACATTTTTATAAATTGTTGGTAAACCATAAAAGATATCACGGTGTGAGCCTATTGGCCTAACATCTTTGTGTACTTCATCGCTAATGGCATTATATTTATTTGATTATAACACATATCTTTGTTATTGACATTTTCTCCTTTATTAGATCACAATTCAATATTCTAAATTTAGTTTTATCAGATATTGCTTCTGTATTCAAACCAACTATATAATTCCCTTTGTCTGGTTTGATTATAACTATTTCTATATTTTGACTTAAATGGTTAATCACTTCCGTTTCTTGATAAATAAATATATATATTAGCTTTGATATACTCCGTAGTTCTGTCGTATTGCCAGATAAACCGATTTCCTCGCAGGTACTAGATAGGTACACTAAATAACAGAAGGATCAAACAGGAAATTTTAGAGTATCCTAAATTGAAAACTTAACTAAGTTTTAAGCTGTGTGATGAATAAATAGATTGAAACGTTTGACGAAAGTGAAAACAATCTTTCTAAATGACACAACAAAAGAAACAACGTGTTTACTACATCAATTAATAGATAAACAACTTTTCATCTCTCGAGATGAATCTCTTCAGAACTAAACACAATGATAGCCAAATGAAGCTCTGCAGAAATAAACATAACAATATCCAGATAAATCTCTGAAGAACTAAAGCTCTTTACTGTTACAGGGAGCCTCTATTCGTTTATGTTGCTATATTACCACCACGTGACTGGTCATTCACACTCAGCCGATGAATGGGCTGTAATGTACAGACATCGTTCACTCAGCCAGCGAAGGACGTTGCAGTTGTTTACCCTTTCAACGTGGATGTACCACAACATCCCCTCGGCTAGAGTAGATTTTATCTGCTATAGAGAACAAAGACAGAAGGGTAACTATCGTGGAATGCAAGCTTACCATGTTCTCCTACATTCTATAATAACATAGTATTATTCCAAGTTATTGATTATTTAGTTTCCACATTGTCATGGCGGCAACACATGATTAGGGGTGTTAAATGTTATCTTTTTTCAGTTACTTCAACCTTTCTTTTGTTTTTTTTTAGATGACGTCCTCTGCCAGCAAAGATATCTCAGTACTGTATCTTAATTCGGGGATATAGTAGTTAAAATTGGAATATCCTTTGCTTGCCAAACTATAATTTTATCTAAAACTAATAGCTGGCTAATGCTTGAATCCCACACACATATTTGTTGTTAAGTTCTTCTTGGCTTTCATCGTAACCAGTTCGGCAGCTGGCGATCTATTTACTGATCCGATAGAGGTAATCATCCACTTGCCTATGAAGGTTTGTTATCTTATGTTTAAATAAAGATTGTTTTACTGTCCTTTAAATGTGCCTAATCTGTTTATTTATCATGCAACATAAAATGCAGTCAAATTACCAACTACAGAACAATTTCGTGGGTTTACCTGTCTGATACTTGTCGGGAAATCGGTTTTACCTGAAAGTACCATACTAGAGCAATTTATACTTCAGTGTTGTTCTGAACCATGTATTTGTGTCAAAACAGCAAAGAAACAGACTAAACGAAATAAAAAAAATCTTATATTAATACAAGCAGGTAGAAAACATGTGACATATCAACACATCACAGTTCCGACAATGAACAAGATGTAAGGATCAGATAGATTCGGGTAATCAAAAACTAAAACCAATATTGAACTCTAATTCATCAGCGAAGATATGCGAAAAGTGCATAAACTTAGAATAAACGATAGATTTTTTTAAAATTCTACATTCAAATAAGAAGGTAGGAAACGTATTGTATGCCTACATACCACATCTGCACAAGTGTATCAGCAGAATCTGTATTACATAAACGCCTACAAAAACTGAGACTATTTATTGTTTGTTTGTTTGTTATGAATTTCGCGAAAAGCTACACGAGAACTATGTGCGCTAGCCGTCCATAATTTAGCATAGAAAGACTAGAGGGAAGGTAGCTAGTCATCACCACACACCGCCAAATCTGGGACTATTCTTCTACCAACGAATAGTGGGATTGACCATCACATTATAAATTTATAACACTCCCACGACTGAAAGAACGATCACGTTTGGTGGGATGGGTATTCGAACCCGCGACGAGACTATTTATACGAACAGAAGTATCCTGCTGACTTAAAAGAAGTAGGCATTGAAAACCCTCAATGATTACGCAAAGAAGAATTAAGACAAGTACAAACCAAACTAGATAAAAACGTTTTATCATTTGCAGAAAGCAAAAGAATGAGGATAGTTTAGGAAGCAATAAAAATTATTAAGAGCAAATAACAACCAAGGAACGTTAAAAGACTTTTAACAACAGGTTTTATTATTATCGCTGATAAAAGTGCAAGAAAGTAAAAAACAAAGTCAGTAGCAGAAACATCGGCCTTTTTTTTCTCATCTTCTAAATATATTCTTGTTGAGTGCTGTTTGTTTGTTTGTTTATGGCTTTCTACTAAGACTGGGTACCGCTGTTCTTAATGTTGAACTACTCTTTATTAATAGAGAGTTAACACAAACACAGTGCATGTACTATATTAATACTATAATAATACAACAAGACAGAAACGTATAGTATATCTGTATACCATAGTAGCACGAGTCATTTGAGGATTTGTTTGTTTGTAATTAAGCCCAAAGCTACACAATGGGGTATCTGTGCTTTGCCCACTACGGGTATCGAAACACGGATTCTGGCGTTGTAAGTCCGCAGACATTCCGCTGTGTCACTGGGGGGGGGCGCATTTGATGAACCTGATATTTGACAAACAGACGTTTCTCATATCAAATATAATAGTCTTGTTTATTTCATCGACATTTTTTACCTAGTTCGAAATAAAAGTTGTTATGTATTTAATTTTGGAGATTTTTGTTTAAAAACTTCTCCCTGCTATTTTTGGTTGTTGTTTTTTCTGTGACTACATTGTTTGTCTTTATTTATTTTTTTCCGGATTGTATTTCGTTTGTTGAGTTTTAAATATGTTTAACAAGAGTTTGAAATATTATATATAGTTTTCTTTTTCGGCCCGGCAGAGTTTGGCCTATGGCTATCGTGGCCGGATCAGAATTACAGACATGTCAACTCTCACGGAATTTCCGTGAGTCTCACGAAATTGATATTGATCTCACGGCTAAACGCGTTAAACTCACGGATTTTTCTTATTCCTACCACTCCCAGGTCGGATGAACTTTTCGAGTTTATTTTTTTTTCGCTCATGGCTGTGGTAATTTTTTCCCAGGAAGATAGTGATGGGTACAGGAGACCTCTAGAACGCTGATTGGCTATAACTAATGACGTCATTGCCTATGAACAATGTTTATCGATTAATAAAATAAAGAGTTGAAGTTCACCATCGTTTTTTTTTTTTTTGTGAATCGGCGGTGAGGGGTGCGAAAATTTTATTCCGAGGTAAATAGATTAGAAGTGATGTATTTTGTGATGTTTCATTAACTTTCAAAGCACCTACTGTATTTTACACTGGCACTGGAGTCTGAGCTGTCACAAAATGCAATCCATTATGATATGCATAGTCCTTGTATAGTTTTGCGCAAAAATCATAAAAAACAAATAAACTTTCGCAGCTGCAATATTACGCTATTTTGGTTGTTTATTGAATTTTGCATAAAGCTATTCGAGGTTTATCTGCGTTAGCCGTCCTTAATTTCGAAGTGATGGACTAAAAGGAAGGCAGTTAATCAACACTACACATTGCCAACTCTTAGGCTACTCTTCACCAACGAAAGTGGGATTGACCGTCACGTTACAACGTCCCACGGCTGAAAGTGTGAGCATGTTCGGTGACAGGACTCGATCCCGCAATTTACATATTGCAAGTCGAGTGCCCTAACTAACAGATCATGCTAGGCCCCTCATATTACACAACAGTGTCCAGAGTAAGATACGAAATGATTAGCACAAACATCAAAAATCAAATACTTACAAATTTTAAGTGTTCTATACGAAGGTAAAATGATTTTTCCTGCATGACAAAATTTTACTTCCAGATTTTTACACTATAAGCTGTTGAGTTTTTTATTATTAGTTTGTAGTCAGTTTTATAGCTCAGAGTCACTATGCTCATAATTTGGTCGCGGTTAAAACATTTTAAATTACAGGCATATACATTAATTTATTTAGTCGAGTATGATCTTTTGTACTGTAAGCCCAATTTATAAATCACAAATTTTGAAAATATAATTTTCAAAGGGATATACCATTATTTAATGTTATTTGAGTCCACAAATCTCGGAAATGCTCGGTACATGGGCTGGAATGTCCCACAATCCTCTGTTGTTTTCGTCACAGAAGGAAACACAGCTGAGAGTGGTGAGAGTATGATGTTTGGAGTATAAGTTTAAGTGTGGTTGAAGTATCAAACTTCAAAGTTGAATGATTGTTTGCTGTTAGTTTTGGTGTGGTTTTATTACTGAAACGTTTGAAGTGCATCAGATAAAGCCATATCGCAAGCAAGCCTGGCCTCGAGCGCGGAGTCCGACGACGGTGGTCTATCTCCCCCACCGCGGAAAAAACAGTGTTTTTCTGCAACTAACATGCAAGCCACCAATGCCAATGGCTGTCCGCGACATAATGGAGATTCAACATCAACTGACCTACAGAATGGCGCTTGTCCCTCTTCTGCAAATGGGCAGATAAATGGAGAAACAGAGGATATATCCCCAAAGATCAAATCACAAACCGATAAAGATATTATTCGGCTAATTGGCCAGCATCTCAGAAGTCTTGGACTCAAGTAGGCATATGCAACTTGCATCACAAGCTTACCCTTAATTTCAATTATTTTCAAAAAGTTCGTTACTGACAAATAGATCTCTTTATATTCATAATAATGATGATATAGTGACATATCCATGTTCTAAATATATCAAAAACTGATCTTTGAGTTTTATAAACCTTAAATACTTGGTCGAAGCAGTTATAACTATTATAATATAAGATTGAGTAAAATGACAGAAGGCCATTCATAGATTTAATTTTAACTCGTGGAGGTTATCCTACCAGTACCACCTACTGTAACAAAATAACCAATCATAGGCAAAGCATAAAAAAAATGTAAATTTATTTTGCTTCTATAGTTCTATCCAACAAGAGTTACAAGAATTTAAACAAATAGCACATACCACAATATCGGCTAGACAATGTTTATATTTCTATTGAAGCTACAGGTTTCTTAAGCTTATTACTTCTTTATATTTAAATTAATTTGCAGTCCATTAATTCCATCAATCAAACAGGTTATTCATAATCATATTACCAAACTCATAACAGTTATAAATACATGAATTAGGACCAAGTGTAGTTCTTATAATATATTATGTGTTAAAAAACATTTTAGTTTTTACAGTAATGTAATTAAACATTGCGGAGGGCTTCGAGCTTTTTTTTTTTACAAGGTGTATTTCTCCTACAAGAAATAATTATTTTTGAGATTTTCTTAACTCAAATACAGTACTTTTCACTTCTTAACATTGAAACACATTTTCCATATTTTTATTCACTCACCAAAACTGTCTAGATTCTTCTCAGTATATCATCCCATACAATAATCTTGGTGCTATTAGCAAATTAATTGCTTTGTTATAGCCTGAAAAGCTGTCCATATCCTTGGAATAAATGATAAAACAAAAAAAGATCTAAAACAGTATCTTGAGGGGCTGTACCAATTGCATCCTTCCATTTTGGAAAAAATGCTCACTCATACAACTGCTCATTATATTATAGAAACAACAAGAGACCATTTGGTCCTTCAAGGCTGTTCTTGCACACTCACCCTTGGGAAAAATACAAATTTAAACCACCCTTTACTTTTCAAGAAATCATCAACCCTCTCTTAAACTCTTGTAAAGTACTGGTCTCCACTACTGTCAATGAATTCATTCCATAAGTCAATCACCTTGTTAGAAAAAAGAACTATCTTAATTGGAACCTACATATAGCCTGTCTTCCCAGAATCTTAAACTTTCTCTCATTGTATTATTTCCAAAGTGCAGTACAAAGAATTAGGACACCTTTATCCTATCAGTATCCTGGATAATCCTGTGAACTCCTCCTACCCATATTTTCTCAAGAGAAAATAAGTGGAGAGTTCATAACCTATTCCAGTAAGATAACTCATTCATCCCTGGAGTCATCCTACTAGCCTTTTCAGTAAGTCAATGCCCTCTCTCAGATAAGGAAAACAAAACTGTACATAGTATTACAAGTGAGGCCTAACTAGTTAGTAGTTATTAGTATAGAGAGATTATTGTCTCTTTTGACTTGAAATCAATCAATATGTCTGTAAATATACCCTAAAATTCTGTTAGCTTTACTTCTAGCAATAGCAGATATAAGATTCACCTAAAATCACACAAATCTAACCAAATCCTGGATTATTAACTCATTATGTGGCTTTTCAATTAAGGGTAATGTGCAACATTAGACATTTTAATTACATGAACATTGAAAGAAACATTTCAAACTGATTGATTATGTCATAAGGTTAGGATATAAGATGATCAATTACAAATAAATGAGTAATACAGTACTTAAGACAATAAAAATAGGAATAATTTTACTTGAACATGATCTAAAATTGAAAAAAGTGTTATCTTAGTATTCCTTTCACCATTTTCATAGCCAATACTGATTATATTTTTTGTGCCATCAGTAACAGTAGATCATGATTTTTATTTTCCTTGTGGCCTCGTGTCAAACAGGAATAGGGTGTAATAGTATATCCAATCCTTCATAAGATATTGAATACAACATACGAGACAAAAATAGATAAAATTTGCTATATGAGCTACAAGTCACTTTTAAACAAAATATGTAAGAAAAGCATAGACTATAGGTATATAAAACTTAATAATATCCATATTTGATGCCTATCATTATCCATATTAAACATATTTTACCAGAATAAGCCATAGTTTGGATGGATTTCAGTCATGCTATTTAGTGTATTCTCATCTATATTAAAGGAGGGATTCATATTATGATAACCCTAATATATTACCTTTCACTTACTGAAGCTAAAGGTAATTTGTAGAGTTTTTATCCAACTTAACAGTTGATCAAGTTATTCTGTAACACTTCAACATTCTCAATACAGCTAGAAATACCAAGTAGTTTAATGTCATCAGTAGACTTTACTAATTATGCTCCAACAAAAAACAAAGGCCTAAGCAGTGACCTCTGAGTAACAAAGTTTGACTGGACTGTTATTAATAACAAATGTCCAATATGGTCTTATCTGCACTCACACAAAACTATCTCGATCTTCTTTCTGTTACCCTAAGCATTGCTAAAAAATTTTAATGCACAGCTCACTATCTATATACTCCACACATTTTGTGCCACCTTGGAACATGTACATGTATATAGCATGTGACCACCCTCCACCAATAGCATTGCATCACCTATATTGATGCAGCTAGCTCTCTCTGATTTTCCCTCTCAATCCTCACTTTCTTGATTGGCACAGCATCATTTAGGCATGTGTTTTTTTGCATGTGACTGCTGTTTACGATTGTATTTTGTTGACATTTCAATACATTTTTCAACAGTTTTCTTTTACCATGTCTGCATTCAATTGTTCCAATTTTCTTTTTTTGCATTTGTTTATTGTTACTGAATTATATGGTAACTTAGAATGACTCTGCGATTCAATGTATCAAAAACTGAAGTTCCCATTATGATAGACAATGCTTCTAGTACGACTACCCAGACCTCAGGTTTGACTTTATCTGCTGAGAAGGTACGGTCCTTAATTCGCATGGAGCTAGATTCCTATGTTCGGCCAGCAATTTTTTCTCATTTTCAACCCAACATTGTTTCTGAGGGCGAATACAATCAAGGAGAAGAAAACTAGATTGACATTTTCCGGTACATTCTTATTTTGGTCTGTCTCACCTTCCACACCTTTTTTTTTTACAGCTGGTTAATCAGGTATGTTACATGTTTCTTTTTCCTCCTGACTTGTGACATCGTTAATTGGATGTTTATGCTATTAATGTTACCAGACTCTTCTACCATTCTTCTTATGTTTTCCTATATCCAGACTGTTCCATTCTCCCTAAGACCTCTGTTGCCCGGGAAGGCCAAAAACCTTCCATCTCCCACCTGTACTTCCATTCCAATCCCGATTGGTTTCTTTGTCAGGTTTGCTCCCTATGGTGTTATGTGGTACAGACTGCTTCCCTTCGGAATTCATGTTGCCAACCTTTTATTCCATGGTACCCTTATGTTTCCTGTGATCTATCCCTTATCACACTAACTTGTTGGGTTCATCAACTTCTTAGGCTGGTGTATTCAGACTTATCCATGGAAGGTTGCTGTCTCCTCAGTGTTTCTTCTCATCATGTTTGTCATATCATCAAGTGCGTGTCTTTGCCATCTGTTGTAAGAAATCATTAAGGCTGGAATGTGGACTACTCCCTATTCCTTTGTCACTCATTATCTGCACTATCTAGCTTTATCTTTCTCAGGTGGATATCATCTCCCTCCCATTGTGATTCTACACATATCTGTTTGCCTTTGACTTGGGTATGTCTATTCACTACATTTCATTTATGTTTTTTTTACAGGGACCTTCTTTTACCACTACTCGTAGGATCCCACACTGTGGCGAGTGTTGCCTTGTCAGGTGTGCTTTCACTCAATCCCACACTATATATCTGTAGAGCCATAATGCTCACTGTAGAGATGGGGTATTCCTCAAGACTACTAGTGGCATGCTTAATGGTATTTACTTATGTGTGTCTAGGTATCCATAACTTAACTGAATGGTGGACCATCACTCCTGGACTATCCTGAATAAAGCAAAAGGGGATTTCTGCCTCTCCCTGCCAACCCTTTGATTGCATAAATCATGGTTGGTCTGCTTTTCAGAATAGGGAATCATGGACACCCATTGCACTTTCTCCAGTGTGATGTTCCTTTGGACTCCCCACTGCATTTACTTCCCCCTTTTTTTCTCCAAGTGGAGCACGGGAGTCTTTACCATTTATCAGTTCCCAGTCACTGGGATGGTGGACCAAGGAGGTTTCCTTCTGAGTGTGAAATAGGAATATACCTTACATTATAACTATACATTTATCTACTCAGTGAGAAGAGTGCAAAGCTGGGTTCTCTCATTCCCTTTTCCCTGGATACTTATTCCCAGGTGAACCAAATGTTGGTTGGAGCAGGATCAGCATATGTGGGATCCTCCTCGTAATACTGGTTTTAGGATGACACTACCCCGTTCCCATGTGTGATTGCAATAGAGTTCCTCCCATTCTCTTTAATTCTGGTTTCAAGAGGTTTCCTTTCTATGATTGAGTTTGGGGGACTTCATCTGCCTTGTAATACTTACAACAAGATGTTGGTTCAATGTTCTTACAGTTGAGCAAATGTTCCACATCTTCCTTGTAATTCTGGGTGCAGGTGTTTATGGTTGGGTGAGTTATGATTTCTGCTTTTAATACCAGTTACAGGTATTGTCCTGTTCTTACAGTTGAGCGCAGGTAAGGATATGGCCCTGTAATACCAGGTTTGGTTTGTTGTACTACTTGCTCCTATGGTGGTTATGGGAGTTTGTTTGGTTTTGGCTGAATGATAACTTCCTCTTCATAATTTTGGTTGCTTGACGTATGACACTTTGTTCACTTAGTTTTGTGGTTGGTGTAAAAATATCACACATGCCTTAGCCACAATGTTTAGGTTACTCTAATTTCTTTTTATCTGGCTGATCATCAATCTCTTAATGCCAAGAATGGGTTGTGGAACTTCGTCTGTTCGGTTGAGGTTGGGTAGATACATAGCCATTGTTATATTTTGGCAAACTGTCCATTGATTTGTCATTTCTCCTCATGTGGGCATCAAGTTTGCCTAGAGTTTTTGTTTCATAGAGCAATTCTTCACTTATGGGAGCCAGCTAGTTTTCTAGTCTACTTTGTAGGATGGAGGATGATTCAGACTTGCACTATTTTTTACTATGGATTGCACCTCTCGGAAGGAATTAAGTTTGTGCACATCCTTTTAGTCTGCACATGTCAGGTTCATTTCTTTCTTACAAGGTGAAGAGCATACCTGTTCCAGAAGTAGTGAGGTGCCCTGCATATGTGCTTCAGTTTTGTCTCTGAGCACACCAGTTATTTCTAGGCAGTCGCTTTCCACATGGTTTCACTGTTAAAAGCCTACACCAATTTCCTACACACCTCCAACTTTTCAGTGTGGAATTCTATCTTTGTGTGAGAAGAGGTAGTACTGTATCGGAAGTTGACTGTATCTGACAGATACCTGCTTTTCCTCATACACTTCCCACCCTTCCTCCCCACTGCCAATGTTATTCATTTTAGGTCCTGCTAATTCTTGAAAGTGAGGATTGAGTGGGAAAATCAGAGGGAGCTAGCAGCATCAATATAGGTGGTGCAATATTATTGGTGGATGGTGGTCATATGTTCAAAATTGGTGCAACATTTTTGGTGTTATATAGACTGATCAGACAAATTATTTTCTAAATAAGACTAGACAATGGATGCTAATAACTTGCTTACAACAGAAGTTAAAAATTAGGTCCACTATTTCCTGAAACCTTTCTTGATTGTATGGGTAATCTATCAATAATTGGAAATTCTTCTAGAGTTAAGGAGGTTTAAAGATACCAGTTAAACCAATAACTTATTTTCTCTTAATCTTCATAAGAGTTTTAAAATATCACCATCAAGAACTTTATTGTCAAATAGTTGTTCTTTAATAAAAAATAAATGTTAAGTGAACTTAAGACATCTGTATGTAACAGGTTACAGTTATAAGTAAAGTTGGGCCATATTACTGGCAACAGGTTAAAGTGTATGGTAATTGTTTTCTGGGAAAATGATCTTGATGAGCTAAAAGGCTTCTGTCACTCTGCTCTTTCTTGTAGTTTTGCAGCCGAAACTTAATTTAAGACAAAAATTAAAGTGGGTGCTGAGAACTTTCAGCATATAGTGTAGGGAAAGTTTTCTATTATTGATCACTATTTTGGTTTCATTGAGGGCAGGAAAATGTGTAAATTTATTATGGAATTTGTACAATACTATAGTATTGTATAATATGTGGTTAAAAACTGAAATATCTAAAATTGATCATTACTTGCAAACTATTATTTAAAGTTAACAAAAGAATGGTTTCCTCCATTTGTTTTATTTTTTTGTTTTTATGTTAAGAAAATTTGAAAGAAACCTTTACATATTCTGCAATAAGTTAATGTATTCGTATACGTGATCTTAAAATTTTGTCTTTGGCTTTAAAAATTATTAGCTGCTTAATTATTAGAACCTATGGAGTAGTTTATCTATTGATTATCCTCTTGCGAACTTTTATTGTATTTTGAGAAAGATTAATCTTCTGAACGTACTACACTAATAGTTGCAGCTGAATAAATGTGATACTTATTAAAATTAAAAATGGTCTTTCCACAAAAATTGGACTTTGTAAACAAAAAAAGCAAACCTTTTTAATGATATATATATATATATGTATGTTCTACACAGATGTGTAAAGCTATGTTTAACTTAAATATTTTTGTTTAATGTTTTTGGACAGATAAGGAAATCACATTCACAGGTTGAATGGTCTTCTGTCACTTTGGCTTTTCATATGTTCTTATGTCTGTGGTCTTCTTTAAGCATTCTGGTATTTTTTATGCTGTAACAGGATAAAAAGGATAATAATCAAAGTTTTCAAGTTGATTTAAAGGCTAGAGTGAAGCTTGTTTGAGATAATTACAAATATGCCTATAGATATTAATAAAATTTACAGAAGACTATTCATTCCACTGAGACTACCTATTCATCAATCTTATGGTTACCCAACAAAAAATAGAGAAAATTTTGACTTTTTTTAATCTTTGGTTAGGATAATATATACTTATGGAAGTTAGAAAAGTTCAAAAGCAGTTAAAGATATTAACACTGTAGGAATTCCAGTGCACCCCTTTAAATATCATTAGCTTGATGATGTGTATATTTTCACTAACCTAACTATCAATGTTATTTGGAATATGAGCAAACAGTATTAATTCTTAACTACTTTCAGGTTCTTGGTGGAGTCCCTCAAATCAAAAATTTTTTTTTTTTTTGAAAACTATTGCTTATTAGTGTATTTAAAAATCATTCATTATTGTATGAGAACCAAAAAATCTCAATATTTTTACAACACACAAAAAGTAGTTATGGATGAAATAAAATTATATAAGGTTATAAAAAAACTGTAATGTATTATTTAAGAGCTAATATGATGATTTTCAGTGTTATTATATGTGTTTGTTTTCTGAGGACCTGTGTCTTGAAATGAGAAAATGTGGTAGAATTAGGTTTAGAAGACTCGAGTTCCAGATATTTATATTTCAGTAAAAAGTGCAAATTAGATTTGACAGTAAAAGTGATATTTGTTAAGCTTTCTATCATGGGTAAGGATTCTATGACTCATGCTTTCTTGCCAAATTTTGGAATCTTATTCTTTAACTGTGCTTGTTCTTATTTATTACAGTTCTTATATACAGCTTAACTTTCTCCAGGAGTGTTGAGAGCCAGCATGGGCCCTGTGGCAAACATCCTCACCAGGCCCTATTTTCTCTCTTTTAGCATATTAAAGAACTTATGAAAAAGATCCTAAATTAGGGCAGCAACAAGCAGCCTTTTTTAGCTCACAGTATAAGCATAAAAACATTAATAAAGTAACAACAAATATCTATTAAATCTATAAAGTGACAAATCTAAAGTAATTATTACTTCAATCATTCTTAATGTATCAAGTGTCTGTGTGCAAAGAAAAGCCAAAAACTATGCCTTTTATGGTTAAATGAAGATATAGCCTAATGGTGCTTTGTGGACTTTACGATATAATCAGGTTTCATTCACCCGAGCCCCTGGGCACTTGCCCCCTTTGCCTGATAATTTTCAATGGAATGGTAGAGATATATACAGTTGCATAAATACTTCAGTTGCAGTCAATGTACTTGGAAAACTATCTTTGATATAATCTCAAAACTGTGACTCACATTAGCAACTGCAGAGTAAATCTATTGCATGCCTGCAAATAGTGATATTTTTATTGAATTATTTTGCATCTATAACTCATAACCATGATTGTTTAGTGTTGACTTCACATCATGAACAGGTACATCCTGTGAAAGGTAAAATATTAACTTGTGTTCTGATATTTTAGAAATCCATATGTTACTTTTATCTTACTTCATTTCCCTCTGTTAGCCGTACAACTGAGCAGTTAATTCAAGAATCGGGATGTCGTCTTGATCATCCAGCTGCAGAAAAGTTTCAGATGCATGTGATCAATGGAGAATGGTTTAAGGTACTTTCTACCAAGATATTGGTTTTTCTTTCTTCTTTTCCACCTATGAATTTATTTTTTTACTAATTAGGAGAGTTTATATTTTCTGTATTGTCTGTTTTTTCTGTTTAAAACTTGCAGTATGCTTAGTCTATTTGAAATAAAAATCATGTTATTAAACTACTATATTCTTTATATACATAACATAACCTATTGACAACATAGGACTATTTGGTCCTTCAAGGCTATCCATGCACAACTACCTTAAGAAAAGTGATATAAAATAAACCTGCCCTTTACTTTTCCATGCCATCTGCCCTAACTGTGCTTTGGTACACGTTGAAGGAGCAATGCCATTCATCCAGAATGAGAGGACATGTTTAAAATTTGGAAAAAACAAACTAGGATCCATTTAAGATAATTTTATTTGTCCAACTGCATGATTGATTGACTTATGGAATGAGTGGCTATTGGCAGTATTGGATAAAAGTATATAGGAGTTTAAGAAAGAAATTGAGGATTTCCTGAAAGTGAAGAGTGGGCTTAAATTTTTACTTTTCCCAAGGGTGGGTGTGCTAGTACAGACCCAAACGACCAAATGGTCACTTGTTGTCTAATAAATCAGTAAGTATTCTTTGGAGAAATATAGAAAATCTGTTTTGGTCTCAATAATGTTATGATTCTATAATTGGTTCTATTTGAAAGATTGGATATTTGCCAAAGAAATTAGACAAAAAGAAATATAAAAATGTTTATCTTTTGGCCAGTGAGTCTATAAAAACATACATTTTCATGTTACAGACTGTATTTTCTTAAAAATAGACTTGGTGGTCTATAATTTATTAGGTTTACCCCTTATCAATATCAGTAACATAAATAAGAAAAAGCAAAGGCTCGAGCAGTGACCTATAAGGTACTCCACAAATTATAAGGGTTCAATTTGACTGGACTTCATTCATAACAAACTTTTGCTTTATACCATCCAATCAATCATCCTACAATCCAATAAAATAACCTTTTCTCATTGATGTGTAATTTTATTAGCAAATCTTTTTTTTTGTGTGACGTCTTAACAAAAGCTTTATGAAAATCTAAGTACACGAAGTTCATATCTTTTCCTTCATCCAGATAACAAGTAACATTCTCCAAAAAAAAAGTACAACAGATTAGTAAAGCAAGATAGATTTCCTATTGGTGAATACATGCTGGCTTTCATTTGTAATATCATACTTGGCTAAATTTTTGACTGTATAACTTTTCCCACTACAGATGTAAGAATAACTGGTGTACAATTGTTAGAACAACTCTAACCACCTTTTTAAAAATAAAAGTAACTTGAGCAACTCTCCAATCCTCAGGCAGATGCCCACTGTTTGCTGACTTACCAAAATTGAAAGAGAGCTCTCTCTTCTCTGATCTTTGACACATCCGTGGTGAAAGCAAATCATACTACCAAATGATTATTGTGCATGCTTTAGTTTTAATTTTGTCTTTCTTCGATTATTAAGAAAAATAAGATAGGTAGATATATATATATATATATATATATAT